ATTTTTGGTAATGCAGGTCAGTATTTTATTAGCGAAGTTTAAAATTATCGATCTCACGAGTAATTTTGGCTGCGTTAAATAATTAATTTTATTTAATTTCAATTGACGGTACGTCTTCATTTTGTAAAACAAATCACAAAGTAAATAATAAGTTTTTATACTGGTAGCGCTATCTAACGGTAAAATTATAGCACCTCCGAAACCCATATCGAATTTATTTTCATCAATTATCGATCTCACAAGTAATCTAACTCAAAATAGACTAGTGCCTGCACATCTACACGATAGCAGAAAGCTTTTAGTGAAAATTTGAATTCTCTAGCTACCTATTGTAGTTGTGGAGAACTCACGCGGACAGCCGGCCTGCCAGCAATAACGAATATAATAGCGTATTTTTTTCAAAAATGCGCTAAAAAGCAATAAAAGCCTTAACATGTGTGTTTTTGATCTTAAAGTAGAGGAACACAGTAGCAGCTGCAGCAGTTCCTCTTCTGAATCACAATATTCATCTGAATAATTATTATCATGGTAGTCTAAGACAGTGCATGTATTTTAGTAAAGTAGTCCAGTGGTTCCCAACCTTTTAGACACCACAACTTTTTAAGTTGAGTATTTTGCCGATTTTTAATTTTTTAAATCGTAAAGTTTAACTTATTAATAAACTTTATTACAGACCACATTAGATAAGACAAGTAATAAATTCAGTGAATTTTACAGTCAGTTGTTTTATAAAAAGAATAATTGTTTTTAATTTTTCCCGGTATTTGGTGAACCCCTCGGACACGTTCTGCGACCCACTGGTTGAGAACCACTGATCGTAACCTACAACATTTTTCCCAAGAATTTCCTATTATCCCATATCTTATTTTTTTGTCGATACTTCTCATGCATACGTTAGCACGGGCCGAATTTGGTACATATACAAGCAAGATATACAATTTTGCCACTTCCGGCCGCCATCTTGGAGTAAACAAATTTTTTGTTATTTTCATTGTAAGATAAAGATATTCTGCGACTTTTATTGAAATCAGTCAATATTTTGAATTTTGGCCGGCTAATTAATTCAAATACCCCACTGTGCGGCGTCGGTAAAATCTCGTTATCGTCTTCGCATTTGTAGGAAGCGTCGTTTGGCATTTTTTGGGTCTATCAGTTTTGAAAAAAAAAGCAAGCAATTCTTTGTTGTTCTTTTTCGTTAATTAGTTCAAACGTAAACTACCTACCATTCGATGATAGATTGCAGTAGATTTATAAACAACTCCTTACAGTGCCAATATATGTTTCCTAGCAACGATTCGAGATGAATATTTCCACTCAATCGTCCCCAGATGGTAAGCTGCTGTAACTATGACTGTAAAGATTTCCAAGAAGTTCGTCCCCCACATAAATCAATCCCAGTTATACTTTTTGCACCAATTTGCTTACTCAATTTTCTTATTTTGCTCGGAATACTCGACTTAAAATAATTACCTATTACATAACGATAGGTCAATAACGAAATTGTCATTGTTTATGTAACTTGTAGGTACAACTTCCTGCGTTTCACGTTCAGTGTACTTTTTACGCTTGACGTTCGGTTTGTTAACTTTGTGTGTTTTGTATAATTAATGTTTTAAAGTACGTAGGTAATTTATAAAACTTCGGTGTTTAAGCCTAAGGAAAGGCTTAGATCAATTTTATTGCAAAAGATCTGAAAGTTCTAAAGTACGAAAAAAATCGGCACATTTCTATCTAGCACGTGACGTTACAATTACACCGGTAAGTGCTAAACTTAATCATTGAATAATACTCAATGTAAGTCTATTATTTCAAATATTGGTAATTGGTAAGAGACTATGACAATATTACCTAAGTATTATATGGGGAAGGACGAGGGTACGATGCTTACGAAGTTTCACAACTGGTGGACGCCATTGTAGAAGCTTCACTACCCCGACTTTCCCACCTTTTCCTGGGAAGACTCTCTGCCCTCCCCAAAGGCCATTTATTACGTCGCTAGAAGAGTGCTTCACCTTTCCTATTACGGTCTTCAGTACCTACTTCCTCCCTTGGAACCGCCCAAAGTCCTCTTTTCACAGTTCTAACAAGTCATTCCCAGTTTCCACCCATGTATAGACTGGCTGGAGGAATAAAAGGCCTAAAATTCAACTCAAAAAGAGCTTTCGTGGGGTCCAAATAGACAGCACGAAGAGCATGTAATATGGAAAGTCTTCCATATCGTTTCGCCCTTCGCCTTCCAACAGTTACATACAATGGTCGAAAATTATCGACTCCTGAATGAATGGGCGATGCAACCCACTCCTTTTCGGATTCCTGTAATTTACTTCTTTGAGGTTCCTGACATAGTTA